AGGGGACGTGGAAGGGCTCTCCTGCCTCATTTTCCTTCCCCACTTCTCAGAGGGACAGTGCACATGGGAGCTCTCCTCAGCAGGAACATCTCTTCCTGACAATATGCTGCCAGATCCCTGCTCTCCAGACAGAGTTTTGCTGAATTTCAGAGTGTCCTGCCCCTCACTCACTTCCAGCCGGCTGGTCTGTTGAGCCAGCACTTCCACGGCATCACTCGCTATGCCCTTCCAGCCAATGGAGGGAAGCACCCGGTACTTGTTCAGGGAAGACGAGGACTTCAAAGGCACTTGCTGCAGGAACTCTGGGACCTCCTCAGGAGACACTGGGGTGGGTGGGAACACCAGTTTTGTGTGTGGTGCTCTCTGGCTGCTCGCTAAGGCCCGAGGAGACGCTGCCAGTGGGGAAGAAGGCACTTGGCATGGACAGGCTTCCATGCCCTGAGGGTGGCTGAAGCTTTGCCTTCTGCATCCCTTGGCTGATTTGGGCCTGGTGACATGCATGGTGACAATGTTGGCCCACGGGAGAGCGGCTGTGCTCGGAGGGAAGCAGAGCTGAGCAAGTGCTGCGTCCGGGAAAGCCGCTGTGGCCGTTGCACCTGCAGGCTGCAAGCAGAGGGAAAAGTTACAGGAACTGGCCAGGAAGCTTCTAGAGGGTTTAATCTCCCTATGGTTTGTCAGCTAAATAGGGAATAAATGTGGTGTGTCACTGTGTGGGCAATCCTGCAGTGCAGTGAGGGCTGAGTAAGAGGCGGTGGAAGACATGTTATTTATAGGGGCTAGATTTGTCAGGAATTGTGTAAACTTAACCCAGAGCATCAGAAAGTTGTGCCCTTCCCCACTGAAAGTCAGTTTTTTGATGGAAAGAACAATTTATTTTTTTATTCTGAAGCTGGAAATTCAGTGCAAATGGGAGATGAGTGAACTTCAAAGCACAGCACTGGCCTTTTCACTGCTCCTGCAGTGGCAGATTGAGTTCCCATTGTGAATTTTGGGGTAAGATTCACTACACTTCGCTTTTTAAACATCTCTGAAGATCCCTGAGAATGAAAAACCCTGATTCAATAGAGAAACTCATTCTGACCCTTTTGTGACCAAAAGCTGTTTAACAGAATGATTTACCCAAGGGAATGGCTGAAGCTGTGTCAGGCAGGTTCAGGTTGGATCTCAGGAAAAGGTTCTTCCCCCAGAGGGTGGTTGGCACTGAACAGGCTCCCCAGGGCAGTGTCACAGCCTCAGGGCTGCCAGAGCTGCAGCAGTGTTTGGACAATGCTCTCAGGGACATGAAGGGATTGTTGGGGCGTCCTGTGCAGGGCCAGGGGTTGGACTGGTTGGTCCTTGTGGGTCCCTTCCAGCTCAGGATAGTCCGTGACTGTGATACAACCTCCACTAAAGATAAAGCCACGTTCTGCTGCACGTTCCCCAAGTTAAGATGCACTCAGAGCACTTGGCTGTTACCAGGACAGGCCTTGAGACAGCCCAGCCATCTGGGTCACAACTTCACAACAACCCCTTGAGAAGTGCCACAGGGTCACACACCTCCCCTTCCGTTCCTGTGGTTTGCATGGCAGCATTTATCAAGGGAAAAGGAAGATCAACTTGGATTGCTTGGCATTCTCCAGAAATGACACAGTGGGACTTGGCTGCTGTTTGTCACCTCAGCACGGGGCAGGGTCTGTGCAAACTCACAATGTTCAACAGAGCCTAGTGCAAAATCTTACAGCTGGGTCAGGGCAATCCCAGGCACACCTGGGTGGAGAAGGGATGGAGAGCAGCCCTGCAGGGAAGGACCTGGGGGTGCTGGAGGATGAAAAGCTGAACATGCCCTGTCCCTGTGTGCTCACAGGCCAGAAACCCCCTGTGCCCTGGGCTGATCCCAGGGGGCTTCTGCCCCTCTGCCCCCTGGGGTGGGACCCCCCTGCAGAGCTGCCCCCAGCCCTGGGAACAGCACAGGGAGGACCTGGAGCTGCTGGAGAGAGTCCAGAGGAGGCACCAAGAGATCAGAGGATGGAGCAGCTCTGAGAGGGGGAAAGGCTGGGAGAGCTGGGATTGTTCAGCCTGGAGAAGAAAAGGCTTCAGAGTGACCTGACTGTGGCCTTTCATTACCTGAAGGAGCTGACAAGAAAGATGGAGAGAGTATTTATAAGGTCCTGGAGTGACAGGACAAGGGGAAATGGCTTCCTACTGCCAGAGGGCAGGGTTAGATGGGTTATTGGGAAGAAATTCATCCCTGTGAGGGTGGGCAGGCCCTGGCACAGGGTGCCCAGAGCAGCTGTGGCTGCCCCAGCCCTTGGAAGTGTCCAAGGCCAGGTTCGACGGCACTTGGAGCAACCTGGGCTGGTGGAAGATGTCCCTGCCCATGGCAGGGGGTGGCACTGGAGGAGCTTTAAGGTCCCTTCCAACCTAAACCATCCTGGAATTCTATTCTAAACCAAACAGAGGGAACAGCCCTGGTGGTTCTTTGCCAGCAAGGTGTTACTTACCACTCGATTTCTGCTCCAGCTCTGTGAAATGGAAACACTCAGCAAGGCAGAGTCCTTGCACACCCTGCCCAGCCCAGCTGACAGACCTGTCCATCCTGAGCCTCCAGCAGAGCCAGACAGGGACACCCGCTCGGGTGACTCATCCCAGTTTCCCAGGAGCTTGTGGGAGGGAGGGGAGTGTGTGCCTTCCCCTTAATGCCTCTAACAAACACTCAAGGCAACAAGGCACTGAGGAAGGACTCCCAAGCCTAGGGGAGCACTTACAGATATCACCAGTGACACTGCCAGTTCCAAGAGTTAAAACCCCAAACAAGCAACCTGTGAAAAACCATTGAGGGACCCTCCTGTGAGGGCATGTACCACTCCAGCACAGTGTATGCCAGAGATTTACCAAGGGGAGATGCTTAAAATACGGTGACTGGGGAGGGTTTGCGATGGGGAACTGCAGCCGGGTGCCTCCAGGCTGGTGACACCAGGGCCTGTGAGGGTGAGCCCTCCAAATCCGAGCCCTACATCACAGAACCACAGAATGGGTGAGGCTGGAAGGGACCACAGTGGCTCATCTGGTCCCACCTCCCTGCTCCACTGGGGTCATCCCAGAGCACATGGCACTGGATTGTGTCCAGACAGTTCTGGAAGTCTCCAGTGAGAGAGACTCCAAACCCTCTCGGGGCACCCTGTGCCAGGCCGTATAAAAAAGCTCTTCCTCATGTTCAGGTGGAACTTCCTGGGCATCAGTTCCTGCCTGTTCTGTCTTGTCCTGGTGAGGGCTGGCCCACAGCAGAGCCCTCGGTGCCACAGCCAGGCCCAGGCTGCACAGCCAGGCTTGGGGCTGAGCCCAACAACAGGACTGGGCCTAAGCCCTCAGCCCGGCCCCACTGCCGGTCCCTACGGCCGAGCTCAGACAGACCCGGGCACTGAAACGGGGCTGCACCTCCTCCCAGCCAGCCCCGACCCTTCATGCTGACCCCAATCTCGGCCCCTCACCCCGATCCCGGTCCCTGTCCCTTATCCCGATCCCGATCCCTGTCCTTCACCCGATCCCGGTCCCTGTCCCTGTCCCTCACCCCGATCCCAGTCCCTGTCCCGATCCCCGATCCCCGTCCCTGTCCCGATCCCCGATGCCGATGCCGGTCCCTGTCCCTGTCCCTCACCCCGTTGCCGGTCCTGG